TAGTATTTTCATAATTAATAACTTATTTTGTTGTATAATTATTTATTTTATATTTACTTATATTTTAACAAGTTAATTAGTTATTTATTTAGTATTTTATAATATATTAATCATGAAATACTAAATTGTTATAATAATTAAAATTATTTTAATTATTTTAAATATTTATTTTGATACAATTCATATTTAAACAATTTAAAATTTTCATAATTTATTAACTCCTTTTTTAAATAACATTTTTGCTTAATTATTTATTTGGATATTTAATGTTTAATTAATATAAGATATTATTTAAATATAAAATATATCAAAATAGATATTTATGTTAAATTTAAGTCGTTTTCATAATTTAATATCTAAGTCATTTTCAAAATTAAAAATCAAAATAATTTCTTTTTTAAATAATTTTTTTGCATAATTTTTTTATTTTTTTATTTTATATTACTTTAATCAAAAAAATATATCAAAATAATTTTTGATGCTGTAACTTGTAAGTATAATATATTAATATTCAACAAAACGTTTGTTTTATATATTGATTAATTACGTAATTAATTAATAAAGTTTTTTTTATCTTGACTTTACTCTTGCACCATTAAGGTGGACTCACTTGTGCATTTCATCACTCTTGGAGGCACAAGATTAGAAGGCGCAACACTAGGGATGGGCACGGGCTGGGTCGGGGTCACGGGCCCCTGCCCGAAAGCCCAAAGGGATTCCTTGGTACCGGCCCGAAGCTCAAACAGGGAATTTGGGGAGTCCTTGAATTAGGCTGGATCCCCAAATGGGGAATTTGAGGAATCTCCGAAATCCCCGTTTGGGGGTTTTGCATCCTTGAGCCTACCTTATCATTTTCTCCAAATTGTAATATATATCATCGAAAACGAAATTAAATTTATAATGTACATATTAAACATAATACATATACATTATACATATATAACATATTTATTATGTGTTATAATAATAATAATAATAATAATAATAATAATAATAATAATAATAATTTATTATATACGGGCCAGGTCGAGGAAGTCGGGGCGGGGCGAGGCGAGACTAGGGGTGAAAATCGAGTCAAGCAGCTCATAAGCTACTTGATCTTGACTCGATGCTGGCTTGAACTCGACTTGGCATTAGTCGAGTCGAGTTCGATAACAGTAGAATTCAACTCGATATGTTTGCGAGTATTTCTAAGCTTGATGGTTAAGTTGATAGTTTTTAAAATAATATGGGTCATATGTAATTTAAAAGTTATAAAATTTGCAAATCCACCCCTTTTAGATGAGCTCGAAATCGAGTTTGAAGTTGATTAAAACTCAAATAA